GAGTTTAGTTTTTAGGGTTTAGGGTTTGTTAGGATCAAAAACTTTTTTAAAGTTAAGAATTTTAGGGTTTAAGGCTTAAAAAATCTTTAATTTATGACATTTTTTGCAAATAGACAACTCCAAGTGGTATTTTTGCAAAATTATAGTTTAAAAGTTGGATTTTTGAAATTCCCCCTAAAAGCAACATTATTGATCCCTGTAACAATATTTTACAAAACCCGATTGACCAATCTGTATTTATTTATATCCATGTTCCCTCTATACATACCAAAAGAATAGAGATTCCCACAAAGTACAGTAGTATTGTAACTAAGTAGCTCGTTAAGAAGAAAATTTTATTTGTTTGGATCAATAAAAGAATCCAAAACCTTAAAACAATTTTTTTTGAACACTTTGTTTTATTAAAACTGATTTAAATTAGATTACATCACTGAAGAAGTTCAATAGATGAAATACAAAAAAAAACTAATGGTCCTTTACGCACCGGAAAATAAATGAAGATAATAATCGTTGATGACACATTAGTGATACCAAGATGATCTTGTTTCGAATCGAAAGTAGCCAATTAGGTGTTTCCGAATCCACAATACCAGCCAGATTTCCAAATTCTATTACGATAACATGATAAAAATTCTCTTAATTTAGATAAATCTCTTTCTTTGATTGCCTTTATCAATTTTCTTCCGAGTTAACTTCAGTGAACTATAAATAAAATCAAATTCCTCAAGAGTATTCCCGTTGAGATTAATCAAAGTAACCATAATAAATATAGTAGTCAGCTAACACCAATCAATCCAAAAAATTAATATAGAGAAGTACCGGTCGATGTTCTTCACAATCAATTTTGTAGCACTGGTCAATCCTGAAATCTACCAACATAATCGTGGTGTAGATAATGGTTGTGATTGGTAAACACTGATTAATTGTGGAATAGCGGAAAAGCGTAATTCTGCAAGTTTTTTTTCCAATAAAAAAAAGTTGCGAAATAATAGAAAAAACCTCAAAAACGCAGAATATGCATTTTGGTTGAAAAAAAATACAAAAAAATCTTCATTAAGAAAATACTTGCTTTTTGGTGGAAATTTTTTTTGAAAATTAATGACAATAATAATAAATCTTTCAACCACAAATTAACTCAACTACCATAATACTTATTTTTTTGGAAAAATAATGACCAAACTAAATAATCGTTTGACTATAAATTATTAGAAATGAGATTCCAAGTATAATTTGGGCTACACAACATCATTAAAAAAATTTATTTATTATTATAAATGTTTTCATAAATAAGTAAAAATTAATTGCTCTTTTTATAATATTTAAAATTTTATTACCACATTTTTTTTTAAATTATTATGAATGTATTATTATGAATGGATTTAACATGCTATTTTTAACATTTTCATGGGTTTTGAAGTAAGTATAGGTTTGGAGTATTTTGAGCCTAAAATGAGTGAAATCAAGGCTTTTCAAAGAAGGATAAATCTTGATCCTCCAGATTAAGATGTTTCCACCGTTGGATCAAGTTCATATATTGCCATGCGATAGACGAGGATCTTAGCTTCAAATATAATATTTGATCGTGGAAATCCAACGGTTAGATATCAAGATATGCTCAATTTACCGAAAAACGATCGTGCAGTCTTGAAGGAGAAGCCAGCACATAATATTCATCCGTGATCGACCAAATGCCTATGGTGATCTACCGATCACAAGAGGTGATCGATTGATCACCCAGTCTGAAAAAAAAGAGAAAATCTTCTTTTTTTTGAAGAATATCTCCTAAATATTTTGGGATATACCCTAACCGATTTCTCCACCTATAAAACCATCAGAGAGGCCACGAAAATCAAGAACGACGGCGCAGCCAAAGCTTCACACAAAAGTCTCTTAGTTATTCGTTTGTTCGATTTTTTCCACATGTTTGTTCGATAAGGGATAAGATCTCACCTCTTGTTAA